TTTGGCCATATCGGGATTTTGAGGTTTTTCAGGTCAAGAATCCGGCTCTAAAAGAAACAGCCTTANCAGAATCCGGGTGAAAGTCGACCGGATTTCTGAAACTGGAAAATGTTGACCCGAAAAACTAAAGAATCCGGGTCTATAAGAATCCCGATTTTGGCCATATCGGGATTTTGAGGTTTTTCAGGTCAAGAATCCGGCTCTAAAAGAAACAGCCTTAGCCAACTAATGTACTGCTTCGCTGGCAGCGGAAGAAGGAGGAAAGTCCAAGTAGAAATACATTTATCTCATTTTCGTGAAACACAAAAAAAACGAGCGTATTTCAGCGTCGCACCAAGGAACACCAGTACATATCACTGTCCCGGCGGAGACCAAGCTATCCTGACGACTTTTCCTTTCACATGTCGCAGAGAGTTCCCTGAACCTCCCCCCGCGGCTTGGCTCTACGGGTTTGTTAAGTTTCGTGAGTAAACGAATGAACGGTCTTCGAAAGAAGGTACTGCGTCTCACGGTACTCGCCACCCCTTCCCTTCGCGTACAAATATGATCGAACGTCCTCCAAGCGAGAGATAACCTCGCCCTCGGTGAGGGACGAGGTTATGCACGACTCCGGCCTGCCGTCGCCGTCCCCCTCTTCGCTCGATACGTCGTCGTCCATTTCTAAGCCGGCGATATCCCTCTCTACTGCATGCAGTTCCAACTCCACCTCCTCTTCTAACACCTCGGGGTCGTCCTCTACCGTAAGCCACGTCTTGACCGCCGTTCGGACCTCCTGCTCTGTGAGGTCTGTGCCCTTCTCGACCAACAAATTGTCCGTCAACACTCGCGGCATGGACCTATAGCCCGTTACGCTTGCTGGCATCGCCATTTTTGAAACCATGTCACAAAGGCCGTCGATGATTGCCGCGTCGTCCTTGTCCTCTCGGTCAACCCGCGTGTCCATGCCCTTGAGAACGTTGCAGTGCTCCCTGGGAAGGATGCCAGCCTTGAGCCAGCACGTTATGACCGTTTGAACGTCGAAGCTACGCCACTTCTGGGAACCGATCTCCGTGACGTCCAGCATTGTCGCCTGTCCTGCATCGCTGAGGCCCTGGCACCCTCTGCCGTAACGAAACACAGGGACGGATGAAAGGGCTAATGTTAAAACCAGCTCGACAAAAAAGTTGAAAGAACACCACTTTCAGAGCCTTCGCAAGACCTGCGACGACGGTAACAAAGAGCGCCCCTGCATTGTTGTTTTGATTCACCTTTGGAANTGAGAACGTTGCAGTGCTCCCTGGGAAGGATGCCAGCCTTGAGCCAGCACGTTATGACCGTTTGAACGTCGAAGCTACGCCACTTCTGGGAACCGATCTCCGTGACGTCCAGCATTGTCGCCTGTCCTGCATCGCTGAGGCCCTGGCACCCTCTGCCGTAACGAAACACAGGGACGGATGAAAGGGCTAATGTTAAAACCAGCTCGACAAAAAAGTTGAAAGAACACCACTTTCAGAGCCTTCGCAAGACCTGCGACGACGGTAACAAAGAGCGCCCCTGCATTGTTGTTTTGATTCACCTTTGGAATTTTCGTGCACGGACGGTGTCCCAGTCCTCGATGAGGTCTGCCAGCCTTGCCACCATCTCGGTCTTGTACCGGCACTTGAGTACAAACAGGATGCCCATGTCCATGGGCTGGTAGACAGAAGTGATTTCCGGAGGCAAGAAGATGATGACGATCTGCGGGTCGTTGCTTTTGATCTTATGGCCAGGGCAGTTGTCCCACAAGAGGGCCACCTTCTTTGAGGTCTTGCCTTTGACGAAGGGGACAAAGACTTTGTCAAACCACTGGCAAATGGCTGCATCGAGCCAGGCACTCTCCTGATCGAAGTAGGAACATGGCGGTTTGCGGACGTGGCGGAAAACCATCGTTTTTTTCGACGTGCTGATAACGGCGAACGGCACCATCAGAGACCCGGTCGTATTGCAGCAGGCGACCATCGTCCACCGATCCTTGGCCTTCATGGCCTTCGAACCCCGCGCGGTTTTGCTGTTGACGCCGGCGGCGGTCTCCCCCCTCGTGACGTATGTACCTCTCGGGAAGCAGCGGAAGAAATGTCCCGTCTCGTCCTTGTTAAAAATGAGCTCGACGTCGAACTCCTGCAGCTGCTCACGAAATCTCTCGATCTGCTCCGCCACCTTCTGCTTGTCCACGTCGCCAGCTTCTCCGTGCAATTGGACGTGAGTGAAGCTGTAGCCACCCGTTTGTCGCCTTGAAGTTGGTCTTCCCCATCTGCGCCACGACCTTCAAGGCCTGGGCCTGGATCATCGAACCACTCACGCCAACCTTGGTTGCCTGCGTCGGAAAAGACATAATAAAAAATAGCAGCGATATGGTTTCGATCAATTCTCCCTTGCATTGGTTGTCTTTCAATCGGCCAGCTTGAAACAGATGGACTAAAGCTTGTCGAACCCCCAACCCAGCAGCTTGGCTGAGAGTGGGAGGAGGTGTGTGGCGGAAGGGTGTAGGCGTATAGACAACCAAGTTGTATCCTGACCAACACATGACTAATGCAAAATATGTACTTACGTCAAAGCGTGCTCGTGCGAAGCGTGCTCGTGCGATCTTGATCCACTTGCGTAGTTTCTCTTCCACTTCGTCGTGTACCGGCTTCGGGGCGCGACGGGCGTCCTGGTTAAGCACCATGTCGCGGACTTTCTCAAGCTCAGCGATTTTCTCCGGGTTCATCAACTTGCTGATGTACGAAGTACCGACGTTCCACTTTGCAGCAACCATGCTCCTCTTAGCCCCCCCCTGGACCTCCTTGNCCCGCGGCGCCTCCGCCGCCCAGCCCCGCGGCACCTGCGCCGCCCCCCCGCGCGATGCGTTGAGGCCGTTTTCCCTTCCTTGCAGTCTCTGACTCTTTGCCCCCAGCTGGTTGCCGCGTCCTGCGCGACAAATTTTGCAAGAGACGAGGGAATTGTGACACGTCAGGGCAGGTTGTTGGCCAATACACCCACGTGAGAAAAAAAGTCGTTGTGCCCAACACAACATGCGCTTGTTTCCCGGAGAACGAGAGTGCTCGCACCTACCGCCGAGAGACTACACGCAGGCCAGCAGCTACAATTTTTGCTGAATAAAAGTAAGACATAGAACATCACGACTGCGTCTATTTTGTATGTTTTTCAAGTGCGAACCGCAAACACCAGAGTCCGCTGAACGTACAAAAGTTCATNAACAGAATATCACGACTGCCTCTATTTTGTACTTGTATGTTTTTCAAGTGCGAACCGTAAACACCAGAGTCCTCTGAACGTACAAAAGTTAACTTTCTATCAGCGTTGAACAACGAGAATCACTTCGGCAGCGCGGCATGCGAACTGCTTCAGGCGCAAGTTGCGTGCCAAAAGATGCACAGCAGTAGCGAGAGTCCTCACTTGGTTTTTGACGCTCACTACAATTGCACACACACCGACACATATTGACGATCTTTTGTCATGACAAAAAAAAATACACACATAAACGGCTTGTTTATCGGTGCAAAGGTGGTGCGAACACACACACACACACACACACACACACACACACC